GTGAAGGCGGAGGAGGGACGGGCCAGGAAGACAATTCTTGGAGAGGCTCGAAGCGGGTAGACTGATCGGGAGGCCCTCTCAAGGGTCCTGACGAGAAGTGGCAAGTGCTCTGGCCCAGGACTGTGGCAGTGAGAGCAGAGAGCAGGGGACCAGTCCAGGGACGTGTCAACAGGTAGAGACCGCAGGGCTGGGTGTCATGGAGGGTCCAGGAGAGAGAAAAGGTGACAGTGACCCTGAGCTTCCAGCTCGGGTCCGTGGTGATGCTGTTAACTGAGATGAGATGGGGAGCACAAGACTATTAGCCGGCAGGGGCATGAATGGGGACAGGTGACAAGTTCAGCTGGGACCCATTGGGTTTGGGATGGCGGTGCGACTTGCGAGTGGACATGTCCAGCAGGAAGCGGGGTGGGAGATGGGGCTGAGAGACCACTGGGGCTCAAGTGGCATTAGCTGACCCTGTGGGACCGGATGGAGTGTCTCTTCTCCCGTTCACTCCTCCAGGGCAAGGGCTGGAGACAGAGCCAGGTGAGCCCCAGCATGAAAGGGGCATCATGTGGGGAGGACACCGGCCCAGGGTGGGAAGACACCTTTCTCCCAGCCCCTCCCGGAAACCTTGTCCCTTCCCCTCGGGACCAGTGTCCCCTTTCCAGGGCTGCGCTCCCGCCAGCGAAGGGAGGTGCTCTGTGCGCAGAACTCATGTCACACAGGGGCCGCGAGCCACGGAAAGGACAGTCACTTCGGCGTTGAGTTCTTCAGTGGGGGCGTGTCTTCTAATGAAATCCAGTAAATCAGCCACCGGGGATTTGGGACAGAAAGGACAAATACAAGGGCTACACAGTGACCGCTGGAGCGTTCAGTGCAAACAACTGAGCCTTCAGTGCTGCGGAGCCAGAAGCACATTCACGAGGGCATTTTTAAAGATCCAGTCTGTGCGAACCACCGTGGGTCTCCTAGGAGCCCTAACACTTTAATTAGACCTAGTGGGTCTCATAACCAAATCCCATAATCCCATAAATCTGTAGCAGCAAGTTAGCCACGAGAGTTTCAGTCACACTCTGAATGTAGGAGACCCCAAACTGCCATCTTCTTTCTGAGCCTCCAACCAACAACTCCTCCCGTATAACTATTATCCAGGATGGCCTGGATCTCCTCTGAAACCCTGAGGACGGCTACTGATTCCTGTGTTAAATCCCTGGACCACACCAATAATGGTTCTGAACACTTTACACACATGAACTCATTTATTCCTCATGAATATTATAGATCCTGTTTATGTATATATAATATTAACAGTAACGGTCGTAACAGGTCATGTTTCCGGAGAACTTAATGTAGGCCAGGCATGGTTCTAAACACATTAGACAAAATAACTCCTAATTCCACGTGAACAACACGTGTATCTCTATGGCGATTGTAGCTGGAACGTGCATTTGAGCAAACTCTCGGGCTGAAATAGTTCCAGAACCGCTCTCACTTAAGTCTTTGAGAGGATGGAGGCCTGTCTTCTGATTCTGGAGGTACCCAAAGCGTGCCCAGGGGGCCTTCCTCCCCCTCCCCTTTGCCCAGCAGAGAGTCAGGGAGGGCTAGAATGCAGAGAGCACGCTGAGGGCCTGCCTGCCCAGAAAGCAGAGCTCTTTTCTGCCACCGCACCCCTTAAAGGAGAGTGAATTCTGTATCCTCAGGAGAGGGTGGGGAGGGGGGAAGTGAGGAAGTGGAGGAAAGCCTCTTGAAGCTGCAGCAGCACCCTGAGGCCCAGACAAAGGAGTGTCCTGAGGGAGGGAGGGAGGGTGGGGGAGGGGTGGGGGGCAGTGCATTCGTGGCTCAGCAGCCACAGGATCAGGGAGCCACAGCAGGAGTGGCCGTGGCTAGGTATTGATGCTACAGCGGCAGTGAGCTTTACAGGAACCAGAGACTCCAAAATTTGAGGTGGGACTCCTTTCCTTTTGTTGAGTGCTCGGGGAGCTGCACCCTTCTGAACCCTGCCCGCCCAGAAATGACTCCATCTCACCACTAGGGAATGGGTAGCAAAGCTCAGTCTGCGGTTGGGAAAAGCCGAGAAAAAGATTTCATGAATCCTTAGCTAGCGGTGAATCTGTCTATTTAGTTAGCTGGGGATGGAGTGGATGTAAAAGTAGTGAGAGGAAAGGCTTGGGAATACTCTCATCTAGTGAGGCTGGGAGGCAAAGAAGAGGGCTACTTTAAAGGAATGGTGAGCCCCTCAAAACGCTGGTGGTGTTAGATCTGCACCCATTTTTAGATGATGATTCATACAGCAGAGAGCTGGGATTCTTAATTGTGGCTGATTTTTGTTAAGTACTTACTTTGTACCAGGCACTATGCTGGGCTTTACATGCATCATCTCATTTCACAACGCTCTCTGAGGGATCCTACTAATATCGTGCCCATTTTACAGATGAGGCTGAGATAGGTTATATGACTTGCCCAAGGCCACACAGCTAGTGAGTGGCAGAGCCAGGATTTCAACCCAGGTAGTCTTACTCCGAAACTCTGTTTACTAGGCCCTTGGAAGGACGTAGGGATGTGGGGATGCCTCCCCCTTGGCCTGTGGTTCTGCATGGGCAGCCCCTCTTTGCATCTTACAGCTGTTGGTGAACCAGGTGACTGACTGTATCCATCACGAATCCCCTTGGGTATGAGTTCAACTCTGGTCCCAGATGAAGGAAAAGGTGGGGCAGAGTCTCCACGTCTAGGTCCCTGTGTGATCCCCTCCTTTGAACTGCCCTCCTGGGCTGGAGAAATGCCAGGGTTGAGGAGTCACAGAGTATTTGATCTGTTTGATTCTTTGTACTGAGGCCTCAACATTTTTGAGAGTCCCTAGTTCAGTGGCTCAGGAAACCGAGCCCGAGGCGCCCTTGCACGGAAATCTCCTGTCTCCTGTCCCATGCCAGTAGATGGGATTCTTTCTCCTCCATGTCCCCCATTTCCTTAAGTGGGTCTTTGTTCTATTTACCCAAACCCTGAGTCTCTGCCTTAGTAAGTTGTCTGGTACTTCGTTTTAGCAAGAACTTTCCCTTTCTGTCAACGGACGTTCTTGGTAATTTTGGCGTTGACCCGGGTCCTGCTTCCGGACTCTTGCCCTGAGGCTTATCTTGGTACCTACAATGATCTCATGTTCCTTGCTTCTCTTCTCCCCTCTATCAGAATTTGCTGCCAGGATGGGATGCATCGAGGTGAGGCTTAACAGACTGACCCTCCCAAGAGGCTGGCATTTTAACTGATGCCAAAGCCCCGAGTCAAAGGAATTACGTACTTAAGAATTTTCAAGCCCTTGGGAACGGATAGGGAGAGGGCAGGGGAATGTTCTTAATAATCCCGGAATGCCATAAGGTAGACATCCAGTTCAGGCTACCACCAAGACAGAACCTGGATTATTTTGTTATAATCAGAATCCATCACATAGGACGATCTCCCTCCTCTCACCCACCACTCAAGGCTTTGACTAAACAGTCTTCCAGATACTGAAGTTCTATGATGCAAGCATCATTTATTTTCTCAGAGTTCTTTGGAAGGCGGAGGGCTGAGAAGCTCCGTGAGTTACCAAAGACCACACAAACAGGCAGGAGTCAAAGCAAAACCGAATTCCTCCGGAGACTAGTTTCTTTCTATAGTCTGAGAACCAATCCGATCTCCACCAGAGACAAGGTGAATTTCCTTTTTTCATTTCTCCAGTACTGATGTTAACACTCCTCCTCATATCCTCCTCAGACCCGGCTCTCTTAGCAGAATACACATAAGGAGCTGCTTATTTTGCCAGTCTGAAAAACTGAAGGTAGCCAGCCTTTCTTTTTCTCTGCTAAAGACAATGTCCCTTCTATGGTGCTGTGTGGGAAGAAAAGGGCAAGACCTTCTGACCTCGTTCTGTTCTTATTCATGGCCCAGGAAGTCATTATGAAAGCCCAAAGGGACACTGTTTTTAGTATGGATCCTGGCAGGTTTATCCAGACGACTTTCTGTAAAGGCATTCCTCACCCTCGCCTCCAAACATATCCTGTCCCCTAAGAATGATTTGGTCTTGGTGTTGGGGGAGAAGGGTAGGTAACAGGGCCTGGCTCTGTCATCTGGGGCTCTTTTTTTTTAATTAAAAAAATTTTTTTTGGCTGCGCTGTGTCGCATGCGGGATCTTAGTTCCCCGACCCGGGGAATGAACCCGAGTCCCCTGCTGTGGAAGCGTGGAGTCCTAACCACTGGACTGTCATGGAAGTCCCCATCCGGGGCTCTTTTGAGGGACCTTCGCTAGTCTCCCAAAGAAAGGGCCGAATGTCCCCTCTGGAGCAGTCATTTGAACGGCTTCAGGGACTGACAACCTGGCCAGAGACAGCATCCAGTCTCTCAGGAAAGTGGTAAATAAGAGCATCAGAAATGCTCCTTTCCTGGAGAGCCTGTAGCTATTCTGGCCTCTCTTTCCATCAAAATAGGAAGGCACTGGAAGGGGCCCTCTCCCCGCAGAGCATGGAGCCTCCCCATTGTGGCAGTGTTTCTAACTGGGCTGAGAATCAGCCCGAGCCACACTGCTATTTTCACCATGGAGGAGTGTCTAAATTCTCATTTCGACCGACCCTCCTGCTTACAAGTACCTCTTCCCCCATTTCAACAAATTGCTGCATTAAAAATGGAGAAGCCAGTAGCGGCTGTGCCCTCAATAGTAGCTGTGGTTGCATTTAAGAAATTCAAATGCCGAGGGTGCACTTCTCCCATTAAGTCCAACATGAGACATCAGGTGTGCACAGCACCGCCGAACGGAAGACCCTGAAGGCCGGGTAGAGTTTCTGGTATGCTGGGGGCTTGGGAAAGAACAAAGAGGCACTTTCATTTTCTGAACTAAGAAGCACTTCGGGGGGTGGGGGGAGAGTGTCAGGAATTCTTCCAACGTCATGGGCCTGCCCACACCTGAGTCAGATATTGATGACCTTCTCCAGGCCATGCCCTCCTCTCCCCCTCCCCAAAAGACAGTACGAGTGACAACGAAGCCCGGTACTTACAGGTGCAGAGGATTTTCGGACAGGAAAATGGAGACCGCAGGCTCCTGAATGCCTGCTGAGTGGTTGCATCGGATTAGGAAGTGATGATTGTAAGAATAAGATCTTTGGAAAATCTTGTCGCCCCTCCCCTGGTTGTTTCAGTCCACATCCAAACTCAGACCACCACGCCCCTCCCCAGGACATGTGTCCTTCCTGGCTGCCTGGTGCCTCCATGCCCCTTACCGTGAGGGTGCTGGCAGCCACACTGCCTCTTGGAGCCTCTAGCCCGGCAAGGTAGTCAAGCTCCTGGGATTAGGTTGGCAAGAACGACTGTCCTCCAAACGATCAGCCCAGAGAAAGAGAGAGAGAGAGCGAGCAAACCCGAAAACGGGTCCAGGACGGAGAGCTCCTGGTGCTGAGCATGTCTCTGGCGTATTCCGAAAGTGGCATCCACAGCAGAGAAAGTGTCCCAAAATAGCTCAGGCTGCCAATGCCTCGCTGAAACCTGAGAAAGAATTGCTGAATTCAAAGATCTGGGTCGCCGTGGGTGTGTGATCAAAGTGCGGATTTGTTGGTAGGAGGAACTCAAGCCATGAGCTTAGGAGAGACACGAGGTCACCCAGGGCACGGCCTGCCTTCTCTTTTCCAACTTGGTTAAGTTGGCAGTGGTGTCAGAAAGCTCCCCTGTGCTGAGACAGGGGGCTGGCAAGAGGTCCTAGGGATGCTGTTTTCATTCCCAGGTCTCTGATGCGCTAACAATGTGAAATAGCTGTGCTCTATTTTCTGCATTTCAAACAAGGGAACTGATACTGTGTGAAGGTTTCTTTAAGATATTGCTCCATAACTGATGACATTCCCTTTCCAGTAGATTTTTCATTTCTTTTGGCCTTTGGCATAAGTAAATGTCAGCTCCTAAAACATCAACAGAGAAGAGCAAACAGTAGGGTCTCTGTGATTTCCTTGGGATTTGAGAAATCTCCCCTCCCTGGCTTCTGACTGGATGGTGTCTGTACATTGCTGCCTATGGCACTGGGAAGGATGAGGTCCACCCAGGCACGCTGTCTCATTTTTGTATTTGCTGAGATCTTGGGACATTCTCCTTTAATCAGGTATGTTGAAAATTTTAGGATTGTCTGCAGAGAGTGTGGGTCAGTATGTAGAAAGTTCAGCATATGTCTTCCTTGGATCAGCCTTGGGGTTTAAGACGAGAAAGCACAGCATTTGGTTTCCAGTTCCGGCTCTGCCTGTCTTTTGCTGTGTGATTTGGGGCAAGTCAGTTTTCTGTGCTGGACCTCAGCTTCCTCCTCTGTAAAATGAAGTCAACCATCCCCATCCTAATCCTAATCCAATGGTATGAATAGTGGAGATTAACGCAAAGGGTCACAAGAATGCTACTAGGGGAAGGGCTTGTCACTCTCAGTAAATGGTGGCAGTCTTCAGGTCTTCAAGGGACCCTGACCGGTAGCCACTCGAGTCCTGTATCAACATGTTTACAGTGAGCCTGACATATACCACAGCACTAGGTGCTAGGGGCTTCATGCCTAATGGTCAATATTATTTCCAATTCCAAGCCGTAGGACTTTGGGCCAGTTGCTTAGTGCCCAGGAGTTCAGTTTCCCCATCTGTCAAGTGGGTATACAAATGAATAATACAGGGCCACAATCCTTTATCTGAAACCACTGGGGCTAGATGTGTTTTGGATTTCAGAAGTTTTAGATTTTAGAAAAGCAATACTGTACATATAACATATATAACACACCTTGTGGGATCTGGGGCAAGTATCCTGTGATCGAATACACTAATATTTCTAAGTTGGATAAATGAATAGCAGCCTCATGCCACCTTAGGCCCACTTTGGCCACAAAATGAGCTTGCCACAAAATTTCAGTTTTCAGAATCTTTTGGATGTCAAAAAGCCAGGTAGGGAATTGTGGACAATGAAAGAAGCTAAAGTCTCTTTAGTGCATGCCATGCACCGGGTATGGTTCTAAGTAGTTTATATGCATTAACTGATTTAGTTGGGCCAATAATCCTACGAGGTAGGCATTATTACTATCATCATCATCTCCATTTTACAGATGAAGAAACTGAGGCTCAGAGAGGTTATTTCACTCGTGCAGACTCCCAAAGCCAGTGAGGGGCAGAGCTGGGATTCTAACCTAGACAGTTGGGCCTCAGAATCTGTGCTGTTAACCTAACCACCTTCTCTACCTACTCCGTGGGGTTAAAATGAGGCTTCAAAGGCCCACAGAGGCCAAGCAAGTTACTTTTTACTTGAAAAAGTAAAAGTGGCTTGTGAGTACTGAGCCCACATGGTGAGCCAGTGCCCCATCTACAGGGAGCAGCTTACTCAGCTCCACCTGATTCTTGCCATCTCAGAACCAGGATCCAAGCCTTTCTGTTTTTCCCAGAGAAGCCAGAAATCCAGCTTTATAGGTAACATCTCCTGACTTTCAAATGTTGGCAACTACTTTAAAAAATGGTAAAAACATTGCAGGGGTCAAAAAAAATCCGTCTGCAGTCTGAATCCAGCCTGTGGCCGCCGGTTTGCAAGCTCTGCAATGAGGAAATAGATGCGAAAGTGCTTTGAAAACTTAAAAACGTGTTCTAGACACAGACGGTCTCATTTTTAGGGTTAAGGTTTTTTTTTTTTTTTTTTTCCCTTCACTGTGTCTAGTTTTTTGAAAACTGGTGTTCCTAGACTGATGGAGATGAAAAGTTGGAATTAAATAGAGACTTCAGTGAACTTGAATGCTTCATTCCTTTGGCAGGCTGGATAAATGAGAAGCCTAGGTGTACTGGACGGGCTAAGCCTCAGAATTCCTGCCACACCCACGGGCCCCTTCTAAGGAGTTTCCATCCGCAGACCCTAGCAGAGGGAAGGAGCAGTTCCTTATGAATAGGTGGCTATGTTTGGTGCCCACAGGACCCTGCATCCCCCTGGCAATAGCCGATTGAGCCAGGAGAGGGCATCTGATTCAAAAGCAGTCACTCTATAGGCTGGCAAGTTGCCTAGGAGGGAACCTGGGATGAGAACTTTGCCCAACAAGCACAGTGGTGACTATATTTGGACCAATGAGAGTCTCTTCCTTGGGCAGTTTGAATACCAGATCTAAAAGAGTGAGCGGTTGGCAACAGGGGCAGAAAGCAGGCAGCAGGGCCCATGAATAAGCAGGTCCAGGAGAGATGACTGAGCTTCAGCTAGGTGCCAGACACTTTACACATGTTTTTTGTTTAAAACATTCAAATACCCTGGGAGGTAGGTACTGTTATTATCCCTGTTTTAAAGACAAGATAACTGAGGCGAGGTAACTCAAAGTGCTGGGAGCTGGAACCCAGGTTTGTCTGATGTTAAAATCAGGGTGTACAAACCCCTAAGCCAGCAGTTCTTAAACTCTAGAGGGTTTCAGAATCACTTGGGTCAAAAGGCGGATTCCTCGGCCTCACCCCAGACCTACTGAGTCTGACTCTTTAAACTTGGAGCCCACCTCCCCAGGGCGGCCTGCATTTTAACAGTCCTCCCAGGGGGCGACTCATGCAGAGGGCTTCCCAGCCACACTTCGAGAAATGCAGTTGGATCGAGTATGGCAGGTACTGTAAACTGCTTTGCCTTCCCCTTGAGAAACAAGGTCAAGGTCAACAGACATGGTCAAAGTTCAGTTGCAACTCTTTTGGAAATGGGGTCAATTCTACAAATAAGAGGACATCAGTTTGTCCTCTTTCCTGATCTGGGAAAGTATCCAATGCCACCAGTTACCTGGGGGAAGATGACAGGTCTGAGATGAATGTTCAGCACTTTGTAGAGAAGAACCTACCTGCTCTTCAGCGGGCAGAGCTCACAGCTGCCATATGTTCACTAAGCATTTTCCATGACAAGCACACACTGCAGGAGCTTACTGCATTGGCAACAAAGAACAGGAGAGAAAATGACCAAATGCAGAGACATACATTGTAAACAATGGGATTTTAAAATGTACGCCTACTTCCTAGGCTGAACATACAGGCTCTTGTCAGCCCTAGAATAATTGTGTAAAAATTCCATCTGTGGGGCTTCCCTGGTGGTGCAGTGGTTGAGAGTCTGCCTGCCGATGCAGGGGACGCGGGTTCGTGCCCCGGTCCGGGAAGATCCCACATGCCGCGGAGCAGCTGGGCCCGTGAGCCATCGCCGCTGAGCCTGCGTGTCCGGAGCCTGTGCTCCGCAACAGGAGAGGCCACAACAGTGAGAGGGCCGGGGACCGCCAAAAAAAAAAAATTC